GGGGGGGGGGGTTGCAGAAAAACTGAAGAATAGAGGATGACTCAACTAAAGCGGATGGCTGATCCAGGAATAGGGAAGAAATCTCGAAAAAAGAGAAAATTTAAGGCATTATAAGCAAATGTATACCGGTAAGTTGTATTATATATCTGAAGCGTATTCATGGCTCTTATACAATCATTTCATTGTATTTCAATTCGACGATCAACGCAGCTGAGTCTTTCAGAGCTTTGAATTTATAAAATATATTCTACAAATGTTTGTAACAAACACTGAGCTCCAGATAATATGTTGGGATGCGAAGAATGTGCACCCCGACTGGTATGACTTTAGCGCGTCCTTGGAAGATTGTCGCAGACACTATGGTTAGAAGAATTTCAACGAAAACTTTACAATATTGACGACTGAATGGCTCTCTGATTCAAATTATTGCATAATCTAAAAAAATAATAATGTAACAGTCAGCAAATTGTCCGTCGTCAGGAAACGTTCAAAAAGCTTTCTTGCTTTACGCAAGTATCGAATGTTATGATTTCAGGGTAACATACTCCCAATACAATGCAACTTAAAAACGTAAATCATCGAAAGCTGACAGCCTGCGAAGCTTAAAGAATGAGCAAAGTAGGCGGACGACTACTGCTTTCTCTTGCGCTTGCACTTGTCGCAGTAAAGAAAAAAAAAGTTCGTGCCAGCCTTAAAATGCGACTTCTGCAAAAGTGGCCTTATATAGCAAAAAACCATACAAAACCTAGGCGAGTTGAGAGAAAAAACACACAGCGTCCTATTTGAAAAGGAAGGTCTACGATTTGAGACTGAGATAATCAAAGGATAATTTTATGATCTAGTTCTAGAATACTCAAGTTAATGGATCCGCCTGAATTTTGAAAGCTAACCCACCGCCAGGAATTTTATCATAAAGTTTGCTTAGCATCCAGTGCATCCAGTGTAGGACGTCGACAAGTCCTCCTTCCCTAGAGGTTACAATCGATAGCTGCCAATAATTTCGTTCACCTTTTTCTTGCAGAAAAAAATCGGATCAACATTTGTCAAAGTGCGAACCAGACGGCTGCAACATGCAAGTGTTTGCAGAGAGAAATCGATAGTTTGTTGCAACAAGGCCGCCGTTAGTGCGTCAACATCAAAATGTTTACGTGGTTGCGTACGAAACATGTGATGTGCGTGGTCTTTGATGTTTAGGATATCGGACCCTAAATATGTAGGTATTTGTTGCGCTAAAGAAAACAGACAACAACGGGAGAGCTTTGATCACCAAATGCAGCAGAGCATAAAATTTAAGCAAATTTCCATTTGGATTTTCAAAAGACGATCATGACTCACGAAAACAATTGCGGACAATTTCGCTGTATGATTTACCGCATTTTACTGAATCCATAAATTTCACAGTGTGGTGCGCCATCAGGGACACCGCTATTATACCTCGGGGACGCAAATTTTTGGTCGATGTCAAGTCACTCAAAGGCCTTACGCCCTTCACCTGTACACCCCCTTCCGTTAT